GGAACAGAAAAGAGATGGTTTGAAAGGGGAGTAAAGGAAGCGATTTTTGTTAAAAAGGAGGTATCAGATTTAACCTGTCTCCTATTTACAATAACTTGTTGACCACCAAGGGACATAGACATGCTGATCAGGCCAAATGAAAGTAGCTATTCAGCCCTAGCCCAAACAATAGGCCTAATCAAGACCCAACGATAGGGAATTTAGAAATCAATGGGCCTCTTCACCATAGGGGCGTGACTAACCATCCCCACCCAGTCCTCAAATAGGCCACGCTCAGCTTTTTAGCGCAGAGCAACTTCCCGGAGTCTTCACGGAGACTTCAGGGTTGTCTACCGCTTACGAAGCTTCTGTGAGAGAAGCGAAACCTCCTTTTTTGTTTGTTGTTTTTTTTTTTGTGGGTTTTTTTTTTTTTTTTTTGGTTTTTTGTTTTTTTACCTACAAGTACAGATGACGACTGACGGAACCCTTTCTACGATGGAACTTTCCTGTACGACTGAAAGCCTCCACAAGCATTGTTTTAGTATTTAGTCTTTTTTTTTTTGTATGCATCTGCTTGCGTGTAGTTGTCATTACATAGAGGGGAGGACAGTACATCGAGCTATCACTGCAGTGTGCCTAACCAGATATAGCCGTAAAGATTCTTCGCAGGTTCTGCTTTGATAAGCATTGGAGGCAGTGGTTTGTTAACATTCACAGGGATACATTTGGACTTCCAGATGTCACCAAAGACTGTTCTTGGCATTTTATTCCCGCCAATGTAATCCAGCCATCCACCCCACATGGGCACCTTATTGTTAACACTTGAAGTCAAAGAGCCATCATTTTGACGCATCTCCAGTATTGATGTGTTGTTCCTCTGTTTACATTGTTTAATGATGTTCCTGGCCTTTTGACTTTCTCTGTGTCTGTATGTAAATGTGACTTTCTATATTTATATGTCATATCTCTGTTTGACGTAGTTGCTTGTTACTGGAATAATAGTGTGGCTCATACTACCAGAGACAAATTCCATGTGTGTTTATACATATTCAATAAAGATGAATTTTGATTCTGATTGTGATTTTGATTAAGAGTGCGCTCTGCTAAAGTTTCCCTTACACCAGGAGTTTCGGTGCTTATGTAGTTGCTTGTTATTGGAATAATGGTGTGGCTCATACTTACTACCAGGGACAAATTCCATGTGTGTTTATACATATTCAATCAAGATGATTCTGATTCTGATTGTAATTCTGATTAAGAGTGCGCTCCGCTAAAGTTTCCCTTACACCAGGAGTTTCGGTGCTTTATGATATTTAAGGTGGAAGTGCTGCCTGCATACACTCCATGGACCTGTGCAGAAAGTTTAACCACAAGCAAGAACATTTTGACTCATGCAAGAATGACGAGCGACATGGTGGTCGAGTGGTTAGCACATCTGCCTCACAGTGCAGAGGTGCAGGGTGCGATTCCGTCTCCGGCCTTCCTGTGTGGAGTTTGCATGTTCTCACTGCGCCTGCGTGAATTTTTCCCGAGTACACCGGTTTCCTCCCACATTCCAAAAGAAAACATGCATGGTGATTTAATGAAACACTCTAAATTGTCCATAGGTGTGAATGTGAGTGCAAATGGTTATTCATCTATGTGTGCCCTGTGATTGGCTGGCAACCATATTCATCTATGTGTGCCCAATGATTGGCTGGCAACCAGTTCAGTGTCCCCCGACAACTGCCCGAAGACAGCTGGGATTGGCTCCAGCACGCCTGCAACCCTCTTGAGGATTAGCGGATTAGAAAATGGATGGAATGATGGATGAATGGATGGATGGATGGATGCATGGATGGATGCAAGAATGACTTGGTTTTAGACCTGTTTCATTCCTTATTAGTTGTTTTCATAGAATGGACGACCACCCATGGGTTTTAGCAACCTTGCTCGTGTTTGACGAGTGTTAAAAGCATTGCTGTGGTGTTAGCCTCCTTGCTAGTTGCTTTCAAATAATTCATGGTGTCTTCCCATGGATTTGAGCCGATTTGCTAACTACTTCCGGGAAATGTAGACATGTTTTTCATGCTCTCCAACCTATGTCAATTGCCTCCAATCAAGCAATTCTTCACTAGTGTGAATCTAATTGTCTGCATTTGGCTTTTAGTGTCCTTGAACAAAGTGTTTGCAAGCACAAAAATAAATGTAGATAAAGAGAGCTGTACACAGTTCAATATAAGTGCAATATAAATATAGATATAGATATATATAAGCATATATGCAATGTATTGTATTGTATTGTATTGTATTGTCTCATGGACACTGTATGTTTGTATGTTAATATGTCTAATTCTGGTTGGGATCTGCTCTTACTAGAATACAGAAATCACTCTGTAAATACTCTGTCCTGATTTCACTGAAATTCTTTGCTTGTAACCATTTTTAAAAGTTGTTGGCGGGGTCTTTTTAAAGACAGACAGAAATGAGAGGCCCATTATTCGACATGATAACAGCCTTTTGTGTGATTGCAAGCATAGACAAGCCAAAATGATTGGGTCTGCCTGTGTGACGTTCAAACATCTAAGACCCGATCTTATAAAACCTGCCCAATTTGAAAATGACCCAACCGGTCTGACATTCAGAGTTAAATTAGACACACACAAGCACTAAAATCAAAATGCATCCAATGGCTCATACGGTCTTCTTTGATGTCTGGCCCACATGTAGACAACGTAATTGCTATCAAAATATAGGTTCGGGAGCGATAACGTAAAACATCTTGGATGTGTCACAGACTTGGCAGTGGGTGCACTCGAACTGTCAGTAGCATTTGCCTAGCATGAAAGAGAACACATGAAAGTAGTCTACTTCAGTGTGACAAAACTCCATTTTAAAAAAGTGCGACTTCACTGCTAAGCATGTTAACAAGTGAAGCTGCTAAATCAATCTAATGTCGCTAGGACAATATCGATAATGTGTATTATTTAAATACGAAATGTGCAAATTTCGCACTCATGTTAACAACAGTGAATAACCAAACCAAGTGCTAAAAGCTGCAGTGAATGGTAGTCTACTTCAGTGTGACAAAACTCCATCTCAAAAAAGTGCTACTTCACTGCTAAGCATGTTAACAAGTGAAGCTACTAAATCAATCTAATGTCGCTAGGACAATATCGATTATGTGGATTATTTAATTACGAAATGTGAAATTTCGCACTCATTTTAACAACAGAGAATAACCAAACCAAGTGCTAAAAGCTGCAGTGAATGACAATTGCAAACAGAAATTTTATTTAAAATCCAGCTAGGTCAGGACAAGACAACAACTGAGTGAAACACCTTTCTCCACTCCACTGTAAAATGTCGGATTAAAAGCAGATTAAAAAAGATCCAATTCCCTTACAAACACGATTTATTGCCAGAGCATTAAACTAGTCTGTCACAGACTATTAGCATTACTGAAACCCAGCATGGCAGAAGAGTGAAATCCCCATAAAGTACAGTATGTTTCCCAGTTCTTTTGGATGTCTTTGGAAACAAATGAGAAGGACTTAGTTTTAGCATGAGCAACAAAAAAAAAAAAAGGATATTTTTTTTCCTAGAGAGAGATAAATGCAAACACAAGAAAGATCCAGAGAGTGATCAAATGAGACAGGAGCCTTAGGATGAAAGCCATGACTGCTTCAATTAAAGTTCCCGCCAAACTCGAATGGAAGTATGTTAATATGTCTAATTCTGGTTGGGATCTGCTCTTACTAGAATACAGAAATCAGTCTGTAAATGCCCTGTCCTGATTCCACTGAAAATCTTTGCTTGTAACCATTTTTAAAAGTTGTTGGCGGGGTCTTTTTAAAGACAGACAGAAATGAGAGGCCCATTATTCGACATGATAACAGCCTTTTGTGTGATTGCAAGCATAGACAAGCCAAAATGATTGGGTCTGCCTGTGTGACGTTCAAACATCTAAGACCCGATCTTATAAAACCTGCCCAATTTGAAAATGACCCAACCGGTCTGACATTCAGAGTTAAATTAGACACACACAAGCACTAAAATCAAAATGCATCTAATGGCTCATACGGTCTTCTTTGATGTCTGGCCCACATGTAGACAACGTAATTGCTATCAAAATATAGGTTCGGGAGCGATAACGTAAAACATCTTGGATGTGTCACAGACTTGGCAGTGGGTGCACTCGAACTGTCAGTAGCATTTGCCTAGCATGAAAGAGAACACATGAAAGTAGTCTACTTCAGTGTGACAAAACTCCATCTCAAAAAAGTGCTACTTCACTGCTAAGCATGTTAACAAGTGAAGCTGCTAAATCAATCTAATGTCGCTAGGACAATATCGATAATGTGTATTATTTAAATACGAAATGTGCAAATTTCGCACTCATGTTAACAACAGTGAATAACCAAACCAAGTGCTAAAAGCTGCAGTGAATGACAATTGCAAACAGAAATTTTATTTAAAATCCAGCTAGGTCAGGACAAGACAACAACTGAGTGAAACACCTTTCTCCACTCCACTGTAAAATGTCGGATTAAAAGCAGATTAAAAAAGATCCAATTCCCTTACAAACACGATTTATTGCCAGAGCATTAAACTAGTCTGTCACAGACTATTAGCATTACTGAAACCCAGCATGGCAGAAGAGTGAAATCCCCATAAAGTACAGTATGTTTCCCAGTTCTTTTGGATGTCTTTGGAAACAAATGAGAAGAACTTAGTTTTAGCATGAGCAAAAAAAAAAAAAAAAAAAAGGATATTTTTTCCTAGAGAGAGATAAATGCAAACACAAGAAAACTGCCTGTCTGTCTTCGTGTGTGAGAAATGGAAGAACCTTGTTGGACACAATATGCTGGAAGCGAGAGATGTGAGAGTTGGGCCATTACACCGAACATAATAACTAAAAGAAGAATTATATTTTATAAGGACCTTAACATTAGGGCATCTGGTCATTACATCCACAGGAACGGAATTTGTTCTTTTCGTTGAGGTGGATTTGCAACAGCTACCGTCTTTTGTATTTTGATTTGCTTGGAAACATACCCAGAACTTTGATTTGCCATGGAACGTATTTTGAATTGGATATCACTCGCTGTCATATTTTCATGTTTGAAGCAGTCTTTTCTGTTTTGTCTGTTATGTCTCAATAAGGGAATACTAAATGCCATCGATCAAATAACGGCCACTGGTGCTGAAGAGACACACCAATCAGACTCAATTCTGACTCGACTGAATACAATTGCAGATTTATTGTGAACCATTTGCTCAAAACATTTGTATTATAATACAAGGTCATCTGCATTTGGTAATGACTTCGCTTCGCTCTTCACCATCTTTTCTTGCCTTCAAAACACGTGAGGAGCGTTTTGGGCAAAGTTGTGTGGAGCCATGTTTGAAGGGTGTATATATGTGTGTATATACGTATATACCGTGTGACTGTCGTGATACTACGTCATACAATTGAAAAAAACTATACTTATGCCATGTAATTTTATTTACTTTTTTTTGTTTTTCATAATGTGATTTTTTTTATGTCTTTAATTTGTAAAAAAAAACATTTTTATTTTTCACTAATGAAGGGTTCAGTGAACGTGCATATGAACTGGTTGGGTTCGGTACCTCCAACAAGGTTAAGAACCACTGTTCTACCTTGTAAGACAGAATTCAAGGCATTCGTATGCATTACACATTTCTGTAGACACAGTTGTGCCGGAACCAAAAAGCTGAGCACATGAAATTGTCAAAAAAGTCTTGGTACGCGAAAGCGGTAAGATTTAGGGACAACGAAAAGAGCTCATTATTTATGAATTCGTTGGACATGATGGGTGTTCCAGTGGGTCAATACATAGCCAAATCCTGATGTAGAACTAAATCATTTAACTTGAAGAAAATATTTCACTGGAGCACTTGAGTCATTTGGGATGAATCTGAAGTGATGCCATAGTCCTTCAGCTCATAAGTTTTCCAGTAAATCAAGAAAGCACTGACACATAATGACGCTTCGAAGAGTAACTGTCACAGCAGAGAATACATGGCCCCTTCCACAAATCACTCAGGTAAGAAGGTTTGTGATTTTCCAACATCTGGCGTTGACACTGTACTGTAGAGAACTGTGTGTCCCGTTTGCCATTGCTGTGATAGAAGGGTGTAATTCATTTCAACTTTGCACGGGTGGTGCTACAGGATGTCTGTCCAAACAAAAACAAAAAACGTGCGTGTGTGTGTGTGTGTGTGTGTGTGTGTGTGTGTGTGTGTGTGTGTGTGTAAGTGTGTGTGTAAGTGTGTGTGTTTCTCTATCCACCTGGACTGCTTGCAGAGAACATTCCCGTCAAATGAATTTGTTATCAGCGAATCTGACCACAATGATATAATAGTGCAGTAATTCAACTTAAGAACTTTTCTCAAAGTCCCAGCTGTCCCTCAAATATGATTTGTGACCTCATTAAAACGGATACACTTCTGAATTGTTTGCTGCAAGACTTGTTTAAACGATAGTTTAGCACTGTGATCTGTTGGCTTTAATTTCATTCACTTTTAAAGGTAAAGAGTAAAGACTGGATCCTATACCTTGATAGACCACAACCCGGACTGCGGGTCTTTGATGTTGACAACTTTGGCAGAGTTGGGAATGTGCAACAACTCAGTCAGACCATCACTCTTCCCCACGATCCTCCCTGGAGGCAAAACATGAACATGGGGTGATAAATCGCCCCTTCCACAGATGCAGCCAACATAAATTAATTTTCAAAGTCTACTCATGTATGGTTAAATATTGCATACACAGTACAGTGAAGTGTTTTTTTAATCACATTATCTCTACCTGTCATGCCAAATAAAAAGATGATCTCCTTTCAGTGCAATATTACAGACATCCGAAAGTAAGAGACGATTATCCTACCCTGAGGGTTTACAATCTGGATATCTGGTGTGGGGCCACTGAGGGAAACAGTGACTTCCTTGAGACTGGGGTCAAAGGGGATCTGCCAGGTGTTGCTGACCCCAATGATGTGATCAGTGGACAACAGGTGGACCTTTGAGGACTGCACAGCCTCCTCCACCCATTTCAAAACCTGTGACATAAATAATAGCACCATTACTTGTTGAGAGTAAATTTGGACATGGCGATGATTCTGATCCATTTACAATATGTTTGTCCGGCCATCTTGTTTCGATCACATATGATATGACTATTTGAGACTAAATCAACAGCTATCGCTAATTGCAGCAAACGAGTGTGCTCAATTTTCAATCGATTGCTTCAGGACACGGTTTAAAAACAAACAATTCCACATATTGGTTGAATTAGAGCCATTCATCGCTCATGTCCAATTCTGGTCACAATCCAAAGCCATGTTGAGTGAATTAAAGTAATTTGTAAAGATTGACACGAACTACATTCCAAACGATAAACTGACCAACTGAACTGCATTCCAATTGCATGAAAGACATAAAAAGACGTTTTGAATTGACTGACGCTTTTTAAATTCTGCAGCTTCACCATGACTGGGTGGCTTTATCACCGTGGCCAAGGCATGTCTTTATGAATCAAAATATTTTCCTCATGACTCAGACAAATTGAAACTTGTACTTAAAAGTTCAGAGGAGTACAGAAACGCATTCCTGCATTTCTCTTTAGTAACACTTACCTCATTGACCTGTTTCTTGTCCAGATGGAAGACCTGTCCAGAGCTGGTGGAGGCGATTTCCTCATATGCCTTGTAGCCAATGTGAGTCCTGTCATCACAATCCCCCGTCAGTACAAACACGACCTACATACACACGGCAGAAAAGTGTCAGTATCAGTCTCAATCATTACATATCTATTGTCAAGAATGTCAGCCAGACCTGGGACTGTTTCTGTTGAATGAGTTGAAGGACATCATAGGTCAGCTTGTAATCTTTGGACCGAGCATCTGTAAAGACGTAAATGAAGGATCCTGGTAGTGAAATCTCCAGAGCAATTTTTATAGCACCAATGCTCATCTCTGGACAGTCACCGCCACCCTGGCAATGAAAATGAAAACAATATCAATAGCACATTACAAAGTTAGACTTCAATTCGTAAAATGTGCAGAGATAATATATGATGAGCCAAAAATACTGAGGCAGGTAAATCAAACAGTGGAGCCCAGGCATGTAGAATACACTAGTTGAGTTTTAAAAAATGTGTGTTTCCAAGGACAAACAATCTGGTCAAAACCATCTCCATTCCCTTCCGTACTTGTTGGTTTTGTTGGAGAAGAAACACAACAAATCAACAAATGACCCTTTTGAATGAACCATAATTTGTTGACGGTAAATACTACTGTCAATGTTATACCTGATCGAGGGCAAGTGGTTCAAATAATGGATGGATGAATTGAATTTGTTTTTATATGATCTATGAATAGAACAATCTTATTAAAACACTGGTGAACTGACCTTTGAGATAGTTTACGTCGAAAATAAACTTTCCTAACACTGACCACCATCGCATGCCAACACACTCAAAACTGACAGCGTGTCATCAGTTTTCAAAAACGTTTAAGATTCCACGGATAAGTCATTGGGTAAACTATTTCCCAAAAGCAGCCATCCGCGACATACATGTTCTATTCTGCATGTGCTCATTTGAGATCTGTCACCCATTGGGTGAAAAATATGGGCTGTTCAAATCACCAAACAGAATGAGGAGACTACTATATAATTTTATTCATTTATCTTCTGTGTGTGTGTGTGTGTGTGTGTGTGTGTGTGTGTGTGTAAGACCGTTTAAAAAAAAAATACAAGACCCTGAATAGTCAGGCTTTTTTTGTGTAAAGTATTTTTTAAGTATAGGAAGGCGCTTTTTTTACAGCACAAAAAGACGACCATGTATAGTAAGGTGTTTTTAACCCCGCAAAAATGACCATGTATATAGTAAGGCGTTTTTTACAGCCAAGAAAGAACCATGGATAATAAGACGTTTTGTGAATATCTCTCTCTCTCTCTCTCTCTCTCTCTCTCAAAGTGGAATGCTTGGAGTACCCAGTGAACTCCCGTGCAAGCATGGGAATACTGGAACATCACAGAAAGACCTGGGTTGAGAGTCTTAATCCGGAACCTTTACAGGCTGGTTCTAGTATTAATGACATTGTATCACTCAGCTGAAAATATGCGAGTTTTAACTATATTTGATCCAGCAATCAAACTGAGATCAAATTCAAGATTCAACACCATCCGTAAATTCCAAACTGGTGCTTTTGATCCTCAAATTTGTGAATTGCTTGTCCTGTTCATAGTGGGGCATTGACCACTTACAGTAAAAGTCAGCTACATGAACCACAACCCTGCCTAAAGTCCATCCACACAACTCAAGATTTTTTACTGATACAGAATAATAATAATAATAATAATAATACATTTCATTTATAAGCGCCTTTCAAGACACCCAAGGACACTTTACAATCTGAATACTAATTACATTACTACAAGTCATGCTCTTGTAGGCCTAAAAGCTGGTGCGGCATGCAGTCAGTCGTCACGTAACTGAGTGATACAGAGAAAAAAAAACTAACTAAGCAAGTAGATTAGAAAAGCATGTGATTGTCCTTCTTGGTCGTTATTCTTTGGTCAATATCTGTGTCTGGCTGCCTGCTGGGGTCAAAGAGAAACATCCTCCGCTGGATTCCAGGCATGAGACAGCCCTCAGATTGCTTTTGGACTTTGACATCTCCCGAATGGCCCAAAATGTAACCCCCCCTCCCCCTATTGGCATACCTACATAACCTATGAAACATCTGTTTCTAAAATCAAAAAGAAAAATGAGAAGAAAAAAAAACGTACACCTGAAAAGAAACATATTTGAAAAATGGCAAAGGGAAAAGGAGGATAAACAGACATGCTAGCGAAACAAGCAGGAAGTGAGAGGAAACCGGATTGTTTCCATGCTCCACGCGACACACTCACACACCAGATTAGGACCGACTCATGCCAAAGATGCACAGACAATAGCCAACAGCTTCTTTAAGATGCTCTGAGGGATTCTTGCCTCTGTCTCTGTTGCCGTTAGTCAGAGAAAGTCCAGATTGTATTCATTTACAATGTGTATAATGGAAAATGATATGAGATTGAGATGGATATTTGTTGATCGAAATCTGGAGCTGTAGATCCTCTGGCTACTGTAACAATGGAAAGCGACTCCACATCTAAAAAAACTCTCCAAAGAAGGAACTCTGGTTCTCTTGTCAATCCAAAGCAACACATTGACTTAGTCCATATTTGATAAATATTAAAGCATGAGTTGTCTTGCGACACGACCTCAATTTGCCGCCTGTCCAAACCTCTTAAAACCTGATACCAGCTCAACCCACCTGAACATACAGCTCCCTCAGCTCATATTGGAATTTCTTTGGGTCTGTTGTGATTGTTACGGGTCCGATTTCTGCAAAGAAAAAAAAATTGTCACAGAAAATGTAAAACAAAGATCATTATGTTCTCTTTATCCTTTTGACACATCCTTAAAGGGGAAACATGGTATTCTGACAAACAAAATATTAATCAGAATACCATGTTTGGACTAGTGGGAGGCATACAACATATTACTGTAAAGAACATTTTTGACTTGACTTGGACATGCTGTCCATGTGCTCCCTCATGCTGTCCAAGTCAAGTCAAAAATGTTCTTTACAGTAATATGTTGTATGCCTCCCACTAGTCCAAACATGGTATTCTGATTAATATTTTGTTTGTGGGATATGAATTAAGCAGCAGAATCCACACGTTTTTATCCAGAATATGAATTGACCTTTTTTTTTTACTTCCCCTTAAAAGACGAAGCAAAGCAGTTTGTTTCTATCGCACATTTCATACACAACACAACTCAATGTGCTTCACACAAGCAAGAAAACACCGACAGGGTTTTACAAACACAAAAGTAATGACATTCAGAAGCAAAGCACAGAAAAACAAAAGTGGCCCACAAAAATGACAAAAACAACATATATTGACATTGACTGAAAGCCAATAAAGCCGGCTGCTCTGCCAAGAAAGGAAAAGTTAAAACGGCTCAAGGGTTCAAACAACGTGATCTGATTTCACCTTTGACGTGGGCGCTCGGCGACCAACCTTTTCGCATTATTGATTTTTGTGGGTTACTAAACCATTCGCCGTGTATGGTGTAGACTTCTGAGCTGCCGCTATCTTCTAAAACAGGACGTGTGATGGTTCTACATACCCTGACAGAATGAAATAAGGGGCACAAGCCTCACTTCTGATTTATGGCCAGGTGATGTCAGCCCTGTTAACTTTGCTAGCTCACTTCAAGTCATACACTGCGTTGCTCACTTGTGCATATACTGTACAGTATTGACTTTTATTTATTTATTTATTTATTTTATTTTCTTACACTGCACTTTTTCGCCTTGCAGTACTTGTGAGTGCACTTTATGAATCCTTACCCAAGAGCTTGTGGAATCTGAGAAGAGGCCTTTATTATGCAAGTTTTAATAAAGGAATGTTTAACATGATAATAGTCATATTCTTATTGGAACTCTTAAAGTATGTCTCCTGGAAAAGAAAGTGAGTCCGTTAAATTTACAGAATGCATGTACGTCATGGCGCACAGTCAGGATGGGAGCACCTCTGCCTCATTTTGAACCACGAAAAACCCTGCAACCGTGTTTGACAACATGCCGTGCAGGAGAGAGCTGACTACAATCCTGGCTGGAGAGAAAAGGAACGGACAGAAGGATATGACAAAAGCACACATAATAAGGCTGAGTGAATGAACTCAGAGTGAAAGAATGCTGGTAAAACTGTCAAGAACAACCAAGAAAAAATGATCAGCATAGACCTCTTCTTTTTGTTTGCTGGGAATGCAAGTAGACGTATGTGAACTATTAGCACATCTTCGGAGCTTCAGGTGTTCATACAGCATTCATCATTTCTGTAATGCCATGAATGCAGCCCACATATGCAAGATTAAAAATTCCAACACTCGTCCTCTAATGGGAACTTTTTTGGTGCAAACATTGAATAGAAACGATTATTTTGTGTTTGATTACAATCAAGGATTACTTTGGACATTAAGACATTTGTCAGTACCCTATATGGCAAAACAAGCCATGCCGAGTGAAAACAAACAAAAAAAAGCTAAAATGTTATTTGTTGTCTTGGCACTGTTGTACTAACTGCTCGCCCTTCACAAAAGAGTTTACCAAACAAGAAAGGTTGAAGACGTGTAGTTTCACTGCTGCCTGTGTGTTTTAGATTTCATGTTTTTTGAACAAAAATCTTGGTCCATTTCAAAATTCCACAATGCCAACAATCTCAATGGAAGACGACTAAAGAGGTTCCATCGTGTGTGAAAGGGCAGTCAGGGTCTTCTGCATTTTTGATCCCAAATGCCAAATGTTCGCTTCAAAACAAGTAGCTCTTACAGCACTAATAAGAAGCAACAGAAGCTATAAACACATGCGGTCACTGTCATTTTGCTGACTCGGGCTAAAATATGCCAGAACAAGAGTGGCTGTCAGTGATCATCAGCTATGGGGCTTAATTCATTCCATCGGTCCCTCCGAGAGAACACATGTGGAACTGCACACTGTTAGCTTGCATTAGTGAGCATGCATCGTAGAATGTGCACATGTTCACTACGATTGGACTTTTAGTACCCAAGTTAAGAGACTTAAGATTTTCATCAGGCATAATACAACAGCCAAGCCAGCTATCAAATAGTAAAATCTCGAGATGTTGGAGGAAAACATAAGATGCAGTTTTTCAGCCCCGCCTTGCCTTTGCTCTGTTGACTTCTTGTATTTTCCATAGCTGTGGCACAACTTTGTTCATCCTTGATCACCAAACGAGGTACCTTCCACTCTTTTCTAACACCTTTTCTCCTCACTGCTTTCCATGTTAGCAGCTGTCATTTAAAGACTTTTTAGCCTGCAGTGACCGAGATAGCAACAGGTTCTTATTTGCTACAGTGAAACTCCTCTACAACGAAATCAGGTTTGCAGCAAGAAATTTTTCACAACAGGGGGTTTTTCACTGTAGCAAATTTGATCTCAGATGTAAACACACACACACACACACACACACACACACACACACACACACAAACGTATGTGTACACGCACACTCAAACGCG